AACAAATTTTTTAAATTTATGGGCTAAAGTTTTTGCCTACGAACTGTTTGGAGACAAACATAATTCGTCATGCAAGTTTTCCCTCAACAAAATCATTCGTCTGCTAAAGTTAATTTTACCCACAAAACAATTAAGCTTTTCCCTACAAATTATGTTGTAGGCTAAAATGTGTTTTTTCCTACAAATAAATTTTATAGGAAAAGAATATTTATGACAACATGGTACATAATATTTTGGGGGCTAAACTCTATTTACAAATAATTTTGTGGGGAAAACATATTTGTAGGTTATTTTGAAAGAATCTGTAGGGAGAAATTAAATTATTTCATATATATATATATTTTTGCTTATATTGTAGTAATTTTTTTAACCTTATTCAAAATAATATAAAAAGGTCAAAGACTATAAATTAATTAAACATGTGTCAATCAATGTAATATTGAATCCAAAATATTTTACCAAAACACAAATATAACAAAATTTATAGTTCATCCAAATTCAAACTAGGTAATTTTCAATTTAAAGGCATTTAGTAAAAGAGTAAATAAAGAAATGACTAGTAATTCAAAGAAAATACAATAAAAAAATATAAGGCTTTGAGATGATCATTAGCAAACCTACTTTTGAGTTATGCAGCTTGTAACGATGAAATCACCCTAGTGCTTGTGAAGCTGGATTAAGTAATAGATAACACATAACCCCTCTAACTATTTCTTGACCAATTCATCAAGAACGTCTTGCTGCAGTTTTTCAATAAATCTATATAAGAAGGAAGTCTTTTTAACATTCTATAACGAAATATATATAATAAGAGAGAAGACTCAGCATTTTCACAGTATTTTAATCACTCTACATTTCACCACCTTGAAGAGTTGTTAAGGGATCAAAAAAATACATTTAAAACGTAGAGTGAAAATGTCATGCCGTTATAAGATATTATAGTCATAGTTATCAATTCAAAGGCTGCTCGTGGAAACTTAAGAAACAAAGATTAAATTACTTCAATTCAACTTTATCTTTCTTTGTTGAGCACAAGATTTTGTTCGACAACTTAAAATAGACATACATTGCTGGAATGATAGTTTACTAAGAACAGAACTTCACCATAATCAACCACATACCTTTATAAATGCCAATTTGACCCAGAAATGGGCTAGACTGCCTTACTAAACATGCCAGTAGTTCTGGCACATCAAAGGGGGAACTTCCTACATCAAGCGCAAAAAATATGTAGTGAAGTGTTGTAGCACTTTAACAGACACAACATGTATACATGGATTTCTTTGGCTTTTTGGATAGCTCGAGAAAATTCGTCGCAAGAAGGCCAGAGACAATCCTATAAAAGTAAAGTGTATCCAGCATATGCCACGATCTCGAGCAAAGGTGCCTCTCAACCACCCAATGAAAATAATGACATTTTCAGCAGTGTGACTTGCAAAAACCAGCCCACCATCCCCTTGACAAACAGCCAGTTCAGAGCTTCTGGGCTGAACCTGGAAAGCATTATAAGTTCATTCTCTAGAGTGCCATTCGTATGTTCCAAAAAAGGCAAAAACCCCAAGCAAAAAGCTTCAGAGGCAGCCAATAAGAGTGTTCAAACAAATACAAGATTGGTTCCACAAGCTTACTTTCCATTCAGACCCAGAGTTAAGCCGACAAGAACAACATAGGTACCAAATGCCATGAGTAGAATATACAAGTCTGGTGCATTAATATCGTAAATGGGGGATTTGTAGGAATGCCTGCCACCCACTGGCTCTGTGATTCTCGTCCAATGTCCTTAAAGGAAAATAGTAGAGTTAGAGAACTACTTCTAAAAGAATGTTGTGCCATATAGAAGCAGTAGGGAACAAGTGGAAGATAGCAAGAGGAAAAAATTCTTACTCTCTGCAGAATTGAGAAGAGAACAACCTTCAATTTATTCCTTATTTGTCGATAATTGACTTGGAGATAGTATTGTGAGTCAGAGACGTACCTACTAATCTGTTGTGCAAAGCAAGTTCAGAAAAAGAATTATAAATGAGGCTCTTTCACCATGTTGTATAAATAATAACAAAGCAAAATCTTGCCTTTCGGGACATAATCCAATGGTGCAAAGGGCAAGAGTGAGGTTATCTCATATCTTGCTGGCAACCGTAGTGTGAGGGTTCGATTCCTGAGACGTGGAATTGGACTCATTGTAGATGCAGTGTACTGACAACTCTTGTTCCCTGACCTGCTGAGACACATCCCGCGATTTACCTCCTTCACAAAACTCTAAGGACGAGGCGATGGGGGACCCTCAAAGTTGGGGTTCAACCTTTTTTTTTTCTTTTTTCTTTTTTTTTTTTAAAACAAAGCGAAATCTCAATTATCATAATCCAGCACTAAAATCTACGGTATCTATCCCTGAAAATTTTTTATCCTAGATCAAGTAAGCCAAGAACTTTATGGCCTATATTTTCATGTATATTAAGCCCCGTTTGGCCCTCATTAAATTATAGTTCATTATATTTTATTTTTCTCTCCTATTTTCAATCATACAATCTTTCATAAAATAATATTACACATAAATCGAAAACTTTTACTTCTTTTTCAAACATTTGTTTTTCAAAAAAAATATTATTCCACCCATTTTCATTTCTTGAAAATGGGAGCCAAATGGGGGCTAAATCAGTTTTAAATGAAATCTACATAGAACTGATTTTATTTCC